GGTTATGTGGCAGCATGCTGGGTGACTGAGCAAGTCTCCTTCCTTCTCTGAGCCTCAGTTTCCTCATCTATAAAAGGGGGATTGGGCCTCCCTGATTATCTAGGAGTTAAATCTCAGCACTGGGCCTCCCCAGTTGAGCAGCGTGTTGAGCACAGCGCTGTGAAGCTGTCCGCAGCTCCACGGCGCCAGTTTGATTCCCAGCCAGCCAGGGAGATTCCCACATGGCGCAGCAGACCTCTTCTGCCTCGCCCACTGCTCTCCTCAGCAGTGTATTTCGGTCCTCTGCCTGTTCTGCTCCCTGCTCTGACTCTGGTGAATTCTCTCACTCTCCTGTGCCTCTAGCCTATACCCCAGCTCTTGTACAAATAAATAAATCTTTAAAAATAAATAAATAAATCTCAGCACTACCAAAATGACAATGGTCCACCACATGACAGAGCTCACTCACCGCAGCCTGAGTTGGATCCCCAGTCAGGGAGCTGACCCAATATGGTGCAGCAGACCTCTCCTGTCTTGCCTGCTGCTCCCCGCAGCAGTATATTTCAGTGGCTCCGCCTGTTCTGCTCCCCACTCTGTGCTGAATCCTCTCACCACTGCACCTGTGGCCTATACCCCAGTTTTTCTACATATAAATAAATAAATAAATCTTTAAAAAAAAATAAAGAAAGGGAGGGCCTCCCTGGTGGCACAAGGGGTTGAGCACAGCACTGTGAAGCTATCCGTGGCCTCTCCAGCACAAGTTCGATCCCCAGCCCGGAGGGAGCTGACCCACATGGCGCAGCAGACCTCTCCTGTCTCACCCACTGCTCCCCTCAGCAGTGAATCTGTTATAGGACAGGGAGAGGGGCAGCCCAAACCCCGCAAACCTGCCTATTTTACATGGGTTCTGCCATCCGCCGCATCAACACAAAACATAGGAGACTTTAATGGGAAGGAACTTTAATAAAACTAGGAAACAATACAGGTAAGGCAAAGAGTCTAGTTTCTAAATGAAGCATCCAGAGTTACCCGTCCCCTCATGGGTAAAAGTCCATTCAAATGGGATTGGCCCAGAGCAAGGCCCCAAGGCCTGCCACAAGTCTAAAGCATCTTCCAGTGGGGACCCACAGAAAAGGGTCACAAACAACTGGACAAGCCCGGAAGGAAAAGAGCAAAATCAACATCAAGATAAAAGCTGCCATTGTCACCTCCCCACGGGTCTCACCCACATCTGTGTCACCCCGTCCACGACCAAAAGACAAGCGCAGCTTCTTCACGTGTCTCTAGGCTCCATGTGCCTCTTCCAGGTCTCCTGGCTCCATCCTGCTTCCTTCCTTAGTCTCTTCTGCAGCTTCTCCTCTTCCTGCTCAGCTCCACCCTCCCTTGGGAGGGGCAGGGAACCTCCCCCTTTCCTGGGGACCACCCTGTTACAATTTCAGTCCATCTGCCTATTCTGCTCCCCACTCTGTCCCTGGTGAATCCCCTCACCCCCTGCACCTCTGGCCTGTACTCCAGTTCTTGTATGCATAAATAAATAAATCTTTTAAAAATAAATAAATAAATAAATAAATAAGGGCTTTTCTTCTGGACCGACTGCCTGTTCTATAAATCTCCTGTAGATGGTTACGATGTGGGCACCACTTTAAGGCATGTATTTTTCTCAGAGAGATGAATTAGTGAAGAAATACATCAAGAGCATAGCACAGATGAATATGGTTCTGCTTCATCTCCTCCTCCCTCACCAGGGATGGGACTAAGCCACCCCTTTCTTAGTGGTGGCACCCCTGGGTGCTCTGGGCTGGGCAACCATGCAACCATGCCCAGCCCAGAAGGTCAGGGCTGATATTCCAGTGTGTGCAGGTGCCTGTGAGATGCCAGGCACTGCTTTGGGCTTAAACAGTCTTGGGAGTGAGAACATTTGTGTGAGGGGCTCTGCTTCCCACCCCAGACCCTCCCAAGTAGAAGGGGCTGCCTGGTTGCCATGCCTATGAGTATCCCATGCCCTACCATCACCTGCCTACTTCCTGACATCCTCACCAAGCCATCACCGTACCTGGTAGAGGGGGACACAGAAGGAGTCCCCAGTCTGGGAGGAGTGGGTGTTGGGGGTGGGGGAGACATAGATGTTTTCAATCAGCAGTGAGGAGGGTGATTTTGAGAACTTCTAGGGACCTAGACTGTGGTCCAAGGGAGAGCTCCCTCAGCTCTGCCAGATCTTCTGATCATCTAAGAGAAGATACAACTCCAAGTTATTCTGTGAAATTTTTCCTGATTTTAAAAGTGGGCAATGTGGGCATGTTTGATGATCGCCGCAGAGGATGTACCTGTGGAGGAAGGCATGGTGGGACTTCCATGGGCTCGGGCTGGGACGCAGAGGCAGCAGGGCTGGCCTCGTGGGTGCGCAGCCCATGGGTCCCTGGGAAGACCCACTCGTCCTGCTTGGGAAAGGCCCCGGGCCTGTCTGAAGGCTCTGCTGCAGCTGTTTTGAAAACTTTAGTAATTTTTAACAGGGCCCTAAGTTTCATTTTGTGCTATGCGCTGCGAATTACTGGAGGGAGGGCCCGAGCCTACCTGTGGGGTGAAAAGGTGGAGGGAGGTCTGGAAATGTGTCAAAGAGGGGTCAGCTGGACTGAGGGAAGAGATGAGCAGAGGGAGGAGGGAGCAGAGAGAGGAGGGAGCAGAGAGAGGAGGGAGCAGAAGGAGGAGGGAGCAGAGGGAGGAGGGAGGAGAGGGAGGAGGGAGCAGAGGGAAGAGGGAGGAGAGGGAGGAGGGAGCAGAAGAAGGAGAGCAGTAGTGTGAATAAGGACTGGAAGGGTGGGCCTGGGAGCTCACTTCACTGGGGGGCGGGGAGCACGCATATGTGTGATAGGTGTGAAGATAGTGTGTTGTGTGTCTGTGCATGGCTGTGTGAGATCCACAGTGTGTGTGAGAACGTGTGCGCGGTGTGGAGAGTGTGGCGTGTATGCCATGGCACACAGCTGGGTGCGAGGGTCCACATGTGTGTGAGTGTGCAGGTGAGTGTGGTGTATGTGCTGGGGGGGTGGCGGGGAGGTGGTGGCAGGACAGGGAGAGGCCAGAAGTCACAGGCTGCTTGACAAATATTTATTGAGCACCTTCTCTGTGCCAGGCGCCGTGGAGGTGCTGAGATGAGTAAGCCCGTCCTTGCCCAGAGGCCCTCACAACCCGGTCGGGAGAGAGACGGTAAACAGATAACTGGAAAAGAGGTTTATTGAAATAAACCCTTGAATAAAAATACACGTCACCTGCTTCACCCAGGCAGCGGGTAAAGGTAGATTTCCCTGGAATTGGGCGGGAGGGGTGCCTGTGGGGGTAATCCAGGCCGCCTCCCCTCCCCCCTGCAGGCACACCCAAACTCGGGAGGGGTGACCTCTCTCTGACCTGCCCAGCAGCACACCTGATCCCACAGAAGCAGATAAGAGGTGACCAGCAGCTCAGGGCAGGACCGAAACAGCCCAGCCCTAGGGCCTCCACTCCGCCACCCCTCAGCCTGGGCCACACCCAAGGAGACACAAACCCCCAGGGCGGGAGAATGCCCCCATCTCTGGGTGGGAGTCTGTGCAGTGACTTCTGACCTGGTGGGCGCTGGAGGTAGAAGTGGCTGATACCCCAGAGAGAGGGCGCCAGGCTGTGTCCCCAGGCTCTGTAAGGTCCTGAGGCGGGAGGGGAGAGGGCAGTGCTGGGCAAAGCTAACCTTTCTGCCTCCTGTCCCCAGTGCCCTGTCCCAAGCAGGGGCCTGGCCTCTAAGCACCCCCTGAGGCAGGAGTCCTGGCCCCCACTCCCACAGGGCTGGTGACCTTGGATCAGCCACCAGCCCCCATAGGGATCACAGGGAGGCCCAGTCTCCTCAAAGGGCTGTGGTGCGGATCAAATGAGATAATGGGATGAGGAAAGCACCTCATAAACTGAAAATGGCAGGACAAAGGTCGGAGGGGAGGCAGGGCCTGCTAGCAGCTGCCTCCCAGCCCTGTGGCAAAGGATCAGGGGCTTGGCCCCTCATCCCAGCTCCCATCCCCTCTGCACATCCTTTGTGACCATCACATGCTGTGTCTCCTTCCCACAGGGCTGAGGAAACCGAGGCTGGAGGCAGGGGAGCCGGCAAGAGTCTTCCGAGGCTCAACTGCATGGTGACTTAAGGTGACAAGGGTAAACCCTCCTCAGGGTGTGAGGAGCTCCAAGATAATGTGGGTGGGGAAATTTGCACAGCACCACACACAAATTAACTGTCAGGAAACAAGGATGTTATTAGGTTAAGGGACCGAAGGATGCCCAGCTGATAAGTGGCCTGGCAAGCAGGTGATCAGGTCTGAGGCTAAGCTGTGCCTCTGCCCATTAGCTCCTTCCGTTAACTTTCTTACTCTTCAGAAGGGAAAGGTCTTCCAGTGGCTCCAGCAGATTCTAGGTTCTTTCATGACCCCCTAATCTCTCCAACCAATTTCCCTGCTCTTTCTGACAAGCCCCGCTTCTCTCTCAAATTCTCTGTCTCTCTCTCTGTCTCTCTCTCTCTCTCTCTCTCACTCACACACACACACACACACACACACACACACACACACACACAGTTTTTTTGAAGATACCTTCTTTATCTACACGCCTTCAGCGAATAACCTGGTATTTCTAAGACAATAGCATTTCCAATTTACAAAATGTGCTTTTGAAGCCTTGGACTTAAGAACTTTCTGCTGGAAAGTTTTCTTCATAAGTAACTCCACATGCAGTTCCCATCAGTCAAATGTTCTAAAACCCAGATGCATCTTCACTGCAGAGGCAAAGTGACACGGTTCTGGAATCTACAGTCCCAACCTGAGAAGCTCCCAGGGAAAGGCCTCAGGACAGCAGGAGGCGCCGCGTGGGTGATGGTGGCCAAGTTACCATCCCACTGACCCTCACTGCCTGCGCCTGCAAACTGGAAATGATGGTCTCATGTCTCCTGTGGAGGGTGAGGGTGGGCAGGGAAGTCTAGCACTGTACCTGGTGTAGATGAGATGTCTGAGGGTCCACTCCTTCTCTCTTTCTCACCAAGTGTTCATCATCTCTATTTTATTTGTTTTTCCCTCCACAAGATCATAATTCTGATTTCATGTCGGACAACGAAAGCTAGGATTCAGATTACAGATATTCAGCTTACAGCCAACTTGTTTGGAATGCAAAAGGTTCTATTCCACAAGGCCAGACATGCAATGCTAGACTTCTTAGGGAACATCGGGTCCAAAGCCTAGCCTGGCAGCAAGGAAGCAGGGCAGGCCCAAGAAGGACTCGGCCAAGGTCACTGTGCAAACGTGAGGTGGCAACACGACACAGGCCCCGTGCTTAGCTTCCCAGGCTCATGTCCTTGCTTGCATGAAGTCTTGCATTTTCTCAGAGGTGAACAATCTCACTTGTTTTCTTTGCTCTCCTCCCAGGTCCCAGCCAGCTTGTCTGTAAACTTAGCCCTCCTGATATAGGAAATCCATTCTTACCCTCCCTCTGCCTTTGCCTTCACCTTCAGCCTGCTAGACCCCTGTCACTCTCCCCTCCCCAGCCTAATTCCAATCCACAGGCCCAAATTTCAGCACATGGGTAGCTAAGACGAAGATAAGAAAAAGCCCCAAAGGCACTTTATTGGAGGCCTCTGCCTCCACTCACAGGAGAAAGCAGCCAGGAACCTGCCGAACGGTCCCAGCATTGCCCCATCCATCCCTCACTGGCTCAGCTCAAGGCCTGGAACAGTCAGAGTGGCCACCAGAGCTTGGGAGGAGCAGGGAGGGGAACGTCTTAGAAAAAATAGATTTCTACACACATCTGACATTTATAGCACATAAATTAGGTGCTCCGACCCCCGCTGGCGGATCCAAGTACTGAGCGGGGAGGAGGAGCCAGTCCAGAAAGAAGGTGCGGAGGAGCCCAATACCCCTGCCGTGGTGTCCCTGGGGTCTCCTCAGTCCTCCTTGGCTCAGTCCAGGCATCTCCAGGAGGCAGGCTGCCCACAGCGGGGTTCCGGATCAAGTCTGAGGCGGCACCCGATACAAGTAGCTGCATTTGCAGCTGGTCAGCGGACTGGTTGTTTCAAATTCCAGAGCTTGTAATTCCAAAAGGAGGCCAAAGAGGGGAGGCCACGGACCCCCACTTCAGGCTGACGATGACAAGACCACAGCCTCCGCTTCTCTTCACGGCATAGCAGGGAGTGTGCCCAAACCGGGGTGGCCCAAGGTCCCCAGGAGAGAATGCAGGCCTCAACGTCCGTGCGTTTGGTCCCAGGTCTCCTTCGGGCCCTCAGTTCCGACTGCTGACCACCTCTTCCTCTTTCCAGCCACTGGAGTTTTTGCCAAACTTGTAGACAAGTCGCCGGCCATCCACGCGCTCCAGGATTTCACGCTTGTAGTAGTACCTGGGTGGGAGAAGGGAAGTCAGCCCAGCTCAGGTCACCTGGCCCACCTTCACCTGGTCTCCAGTCTGAACTAACCCAAGTGTCACTTCTCAAAGCTCCTCTCTCCTGCCCCACCGCAAGGAGGAGCTGTCTTTGCACCCTGGCCTACAACTGTGTCCATAGGCCTTGGTTCTACCCTGGCTTCTTTGTGCTTATGTCTACAGCCTGGGGCTTATCATGAAACCACATGATTTTAGGTCTGCAAGGGATCTGGGCCAAGATCTAGGAGGAAACTGAGGCCTAGATACAGCAACATAATTGCCCCAGTAGCGAGAGAGCAAGGCCTCCTTCACCACCAAGAGCCTGTCTTAGGACAAACTGGCAGATAGCATAAAAAAATTGTTAGGTAGTTAAGTGTGCTGACTGGAAGCCAACCTACTACTTTCTCTGTGTTTTCATTTGATCTGTGAGGTAAGCAGACACTGCTCTTATCCTCCCTCTAACAGGACTCAAACCGGCCAGGAGGGTGGTGGTCCGAGAGGGGAACACGAGCGCCCCCCCTGGTAGGAATGACAGATGGTGAGGGTCCCAGCCGCTCCCTCACCTCATGGCCCTGCTCAGCTTCTCGTAGGTCATGCTGTTGTTCTTTTTCTTTTGGCCCCACAGCTGGGCCACGGCCTCGGAGCGCAGGAATTTGAAGACACCCTCTTGCCGGTTCTCCCACTTCATGAGGCCCTCGTTGAGCTCCGGGTTGATGAGGATGTCCCGGATGAACTCCCACAGGTGAGTACCTCTGGGGGCTATAAGGCCAGATTCCATCAACCAGTGTGTCAAGGGGCCCCTCCTCCAGGCCAGGGGATGTGTCTGGCTGCCTGGCCTTTGCTGTAATGGCTGCTCCCTCCTGCCTCCCCCAACTGACACGGAGCTCCAGGACTGAGCTCATATGGCACAGATGCTAACTCCCTCGAATACTGGTCACACGTCCAGTTGGGAGACTAGAGTGAGACTGGCCTGGGATCTCCCAGGTCAGTGAGGGTCACAGTCAAGAAGCAGACACACCACCAGGTGGTGGGGGCTTGGCCTGCCCAGGGCTAGAGCTGGCCCCAGCCTGGGGACCGAGGGATAGCTTCCCGTGAAAAATAACCTCCTGAGCACAAGAAACAGCCAGGCCTCTATGTGTGTCTGTGAAAGGGCACTGTGTGGAAAACAGCACACAGGCAAGGAAGACCAGGGGGCATATTCCTGGGGGTTCACAGTGGCTGGACACACTCAAGGCCTGAGGCTGGCAGGCACAGACTTGGAGTGCAGGGGCCATGCTGCCTGGGCATTGGCGAGCTGGGAGTCACCTCTGCCTGAGCCCACAGTGGTCGCTGGGCTCTTCCCCTCCCCCCCACTCCAGCACCCACCAGTGCCTCCTCAGTGGAGTCCCAGCTGGCAGGACAGTGGCCACAGGCAGTGAGAACTAGAGTGGGGGAGGGGGCAGGAACCTCTAGCTCCAATAGCCTTGCTCTGGGAGCCTCAGTTTCCCCTCCTGTCCCTGCAGCACCATCCCAGGAGCTCACCATGCTTGCTCTTCTTGCCCTCCAGACAATCCCGGGACTCTTTGCTCAGCTTTCGTGGCCGGCCTCGTTTCCGTTTCCCGTGCTTAGGATCCCCCTTCTTATAGTCAGGAAAGCCATCTATGGGGGAAGGTGGAAGGAGAGACGGGTGAGGTCAGCCTCTTATGGGAAAACTGCAGGAAAGCAGGAGTGAGGGGCAGGGCCTGCTAGGGCACTGCCCAGTGGGGCAACCCCTGGGGACTGGGCCTCCCCACTCACCGCTGGAGAAGAGCTTGCTGTCTGTGGGGTCCAGGTCTACGTCGCTTCCACCAGAGTCTGAGGAGTGGGAACTCTGAGAGGTGCCGGTCCCTGGGGAGGCGGGGCAGAGTGAGGCCCCTCACCAGCCCACCCACTCCCCGAGCCAGCCTCAGAGCCTGCCCAGGACGCCACGCCTGCCCAGCCCCTGATCCTCCCAGAAAGCAAGGGTTCCGGTGTGGCAACAGGGCTGGAGAGCACTGGCGGGAGGGGAGCTGTGGCCCAGACAAGGGCTCACCTGTGGTGGAGACATCAGAGCTGCCGGGGGAGGGGGCGCCAGCACCGTAGCTGCCAGGGTAGTAGGGGCTGGCCTGCCGGGAGTCGTCCAGCATCTCCTGGATGAAGGGGCTTCCCTGTTCTGGGAAGAGGAGGTGAGACTTCAGCTGTGTGCAGAGGAGGGTGGCTAAGGCTGCCTGGTGACCAGCTGAATTTGAGCTTGGGGGAGACAGATGTCTGGGCAGGGAGGGTCATCTCCAGTGCTCCGGGGAGGGCCAGAGACGGGACGGGACAGGCTAGGATAAGAAGGGAGAAAATGGGCTCTCACCACCGAAAGAGCTGGTGTCTCCTGCAGTCTCCTGGAAGGCCATGCTGTCCTTCTCCAGCAACTCGATGATCCAGCTGAGCTCGTCAGGAAAGCTGGAAGCTGATAGTAGGAGGGAGGGTCAGGGCCCAGGCTGACTCTACTCCCCTCTCCCCCCTTGGGGGCTTCCGTCTGGCCATGCTCACGGGTCTCCCCACAGCCCATGCTGTACTTGGCTTGGGATAGGTGCTCAACCCCAAACCAGCCCCCCTCACTGAGAAGGAAACCCCCGCCCCCTCCCCAGGACCCCAAGTGGCACTTACTGAGGTCCCATAACTGGGAGTAAAGCTGGTCCCCCAGGGGCCCGAAGACCAGCCGCAGCTCCTCAGGGGCACAGCTGCAGAGCGCCGCCCCGTCCATGTCGCACCGCGAGAAGTCGATGGAGCTGGCGTCGTACTTGTTCTTCTCCACCTGGTAGCTGATCCAGTCCAGAACCTGGGCCTTGGACCAGAACTGAGGCTGCTCCCCTGACCAGCTGGCCTTTTCTGCAAGGGGTCGGGCGCAGTGACAGGTCAGCTTGTGCCACCCGGCAGGCCCTCACAGCCCACGTATGGGTTTAGACAACCCTCCCACCAGGAAGGGCTGGTATTCACGAGACACCCACACCCCAGTCTCTTCCAGGTTACCCCAGCCCCTAGACCTGAAATTTGTACCAGAGGCCTTTCTCCCTGTCCGATCCCCATTTATCTTAAACGGGTGTTAGATGGATCTGCCACCCTCTCTAAACATCCCCTCCCACCCTGCCGAGGACCCACCTGTGCCCTCCAGCGGCATCTGGGGGTTGCTCAGAGTCAGCACCAGGTCATCAGCCCCAAAGGTAGCAGCAGGGGGAACAGGGGCCTGAGTGGAGTCCTCCGAGCTGTACATAGTGCTGAAGTAGTTGCTAAAAACGTTGCTAATCTCACAGGTTGCGGCCATGAGGCTACCTGGGGAGAGAGGCCAGTGAGAGGCCAGGCTGGCCCCTAGCCTTCTGGCTATACTGTTCTAGCCCAGCCTGACGCGGGAGTAGCCCCAAAGGGCACAAAGGTCAACATGGCTTCAGACACCTTGCCTCCAAGAGGGCCTGACCTGGCTGGTGGTGTGAAGGCTGCCTGCTGGGCTCCCTGCTCAGCTCACCTGGGCTGTGGGTGGGCCCAGCAGAGACATGGCCACCCCATCCTTCCCAGGACAACCCCTCTCGGCCCATGGACCCTTGGGTCCCCCCACCACCCTACATTCCTGGCTCTGGGGTTCTGTCCTGTGGACTACAGTGTCACAACTGAGATCCACTAACCCCCTCCCCAATTTCCCAGGGTTCAGGCTGGGGAATATGGCAGGTGGGGGTCCTACCGGAGTGGCTGGTACGGGTGTGGCCAGCAGGCAGGCAGGATTAAGGGACAGCAGGTGGGCGAGAAATCCAGGAGGGAAAAAAGCTCAGCCAGGTAGTGCTGGGCTTCTGGCCCTGGGGCTCCCCCACCCGCCCTAAATAAAGGCTGTGGAGCTCCGCCTGGTGCGCAGGCTTTATAGCCTGGCCAGGCGGTAATCTGAGCTGGTGGCTCATTGGATGGAGGGGATTTCCTGGCCTTTAGACTGGGCTCCTGGCCCCAGGTGATTTGCATATTTTGTGCCACTTGGCCGGGATCCTAGCAGGCGGTGCTGGGAAATCAGGCCCAGCTGGTTTAATGATTGTCGGATCCTGTCATCCTGTACCTGCTGGGGTTGGGCACAGGGCACTGGCCTGGGCGGGTGGCGGGAGCGTCGCTGGGGTGGGCATCTGTACTTTCGGCCACCCTCTGGCTCAGGAAATTCCTTTCGGGGGCCAGGCCAGGGATGGGCCAGAGAAGGGAGAAGTGTGAAGGGGGAATCTGACCTCCTGGCTGACCTGGGTCAGAGGGAGCAGGTCTGAGGACAAGAGGGGCTGGTAGGAGGGAAGACACTGAGATTTGGGAGTTTTCCCACAGCGCCCAGGATTCAGGCGAAGACTCAGGACCCTAGGCAATATTCACAGGCTGATGGGTAGGCAGGGCCTGCCAGCCTCGCCCAGGGCCCCTTACTACTGCCGGTCCCTGTTGGCCAGGCATTCTTGGCCTGCCAGGGCCCCAACCAAGCATCAGGATTGCTGCGGCCACTTCTGGGGAGACCTGGCTCTACTGACAAGTTCTTCCCTCCGTCCCTGAAGGAGCCCTCTCTGCCTCAGGGCTGCTGGAGGCGCTGGAATCCGTGGAGCTGTTTACCCCTCTATCTGGACGCGCATCTAATCTCTGCCTGGCCCAGCCCAACGGTGCCTGTCTGCTGCCCTCTAGTGGCCAGAAGCCTCACTGCCTGGGTCAAGTCTATTAAAGGAAGAAAGGCAGGCCCATTTGCTTTTTTTTTTTTTTAATTTATTTATTTATGCATACAAGAGCTGGGGCACAGGCTAGAGATGCGGGGGTGCGAAAGGATTCGCCAGAGACAGAGTGGGGAACAAAAGAGGGAAACTGACCGAACTACACTGCTGAGGGGAGCAGCAGGCGAGGTAGTAGAGGTCTGCTGCACCATGTGGGTTGCTCCCTGGCGGGCCGGGGATCAAACTCATGCTGCAGAGACTGCAGATTGCTTCATAGTGCAGTGCTTAACCCCTTGCACCACCAGGGAGGCCCCCATTTGCTTTTAATGTCTCGCCTTAGTCCTCACAAAAACCCTGGAAGAATGTGTGGTTACCCCCATTTTAAAGACAACATTGCAGCTCGGTGGGGTTGAGTGATTGCCCCGGCCCCAGGAGCTGGTTAGGCGGTGGGGCTGAGATTCAGGCAGCCCAGGTGCTCTTCCCTGACCTCTCCTGTTATGAGGGTCCCCTCTCAGCACCACATTGAGCCCAGGCCCCCCTGTGGGCAGAGCCAGTCAGTCTTCTCTCTATGGGCTCAGCCCACCTACAGACCCTGCCGGAGACCCTGAACCCAGGCAGACAGGATGGTGAGGAGGCAGATTTGTATTCTGGAGTCTCCCAACTATGTGATCTTGGGTGAGACACTTGGATTGTGGCCTCAGTTTCCCCATCTGTAAGAAAGAGGTTCCTAATAACTCCCGGTATCTCTTCCAGATGACGTTTTCTATACTTCTAAGGTGTAGGAACTATGTCATCTCCCCCCCTTCATGGATCCACAGCCCTGGGTGGTTCACAGCTAAGCTCAGCCTCTGGAGAAATGGTTGGTCAAACAAAAGGCACCTCCACCTCTCCGGGGCCCCCTACTTATTCTACAGAGGAAGACTAAGAAACTCATCTCTGACAATCTGCTTCTCATTTTCCTGGTCTAGGAAACTGCTGGGTCCCTTGAAGAGGGGTTAAGGTCAGGACCCCTCCAATGGTCAGGGCCGACTGGAGAGCCCCTGGGCTCTGGCCATAGGATTTTCCCCAGCCCTTCAGGGGGCCTCCCCACCCCTCCTCCCACCCCGGGAGCCCAAGGCGGCACTCCCTCTCCCCAGTCAGTCCCCAGGAATGTAGGAGAACCGGCTTCCAGCCGGGACTGGAGACAGGACTGCTCTGTGCTCCCTCAACCAGCAGAATGCCTGGCTGAGGCTCCAGACTGAGTGAGAAGGTGAAAAGAGAACAATGAGAAGGAGATCAGCTCCCTTGCCTTCATGGGGATTCACAGGAGATATGGGAATTCCTGTAGGTTAGCACCTATAGGACAACAGGGAATTCCTATAGGTTAGCACCTCGCCTCTAAGTATTAATGCCTCCAGTAGCCCCCGCAGCCAGGGATGTTATGGGAGGTAAGTGAGTCTTAGTTGGAGGCCAGCGCCTTGGAGGAATGGGGAAAAGGTTCCAGGGTAGCAGTCAGAGGTGCTGAGAAGGAGGTGAAGGGCCTTTCCAGACCCTGCCTGTGGCAAGAAGAGCCTGCGCCCCTCTCAGAGCTGACCTAGACAGGGAGGTCTCCTCCTGGGGAGGAGGATGGCAGAGCGCTGCCTCCCAGCCCTATGAAAGGACAGGCACTGCTGGCAGGAATGGTGGGTGGCAGATGTGACTTAGATGTCCACGCTGTAAAGTGTCACAAAGTGCGGGCAGGGGTGGGGGGCGGGGGGGAGTGAGAGGACGCCAGAGGAAGAGCTCCAGGCTTTGGCTTCCAGAGTGACCCTTTCTAGTTCCTGGGCCCATCAATGCTACAGGCTTTTGTTCAGCATCAGGAAAGATGACCACTGGCCTCACATAAGACAGGCACCAATTTGGGGTGCAGGGAGAGCCTGAAAGCCTCCTTGCCTATAACTCATTGCCAGGAACAGCCCCCAAAGAACTTGGCAGTTTGCTATCAAAATGCCAGTGCCGGGCCTCCCTGGTGGCACAAGGGGTTAAGATGCAACCTATGAAACTATTTGCAGTCACTGCAGCACAAGTTCGATCCCCAGCCAGGGAGCAACTCACATGGCGTGGCAGACTTTTCCTGGCTTGCCCGCTGCTCCCCTCAGCAGCGTATTTCAGTAGATTTGCCTGTTCTGCTCCCCACTCTGTCTCTGGTGAATCCTCTCACCCCCCTCACCTCTGGCCTGCACCCCAGTTCTTGTATGCATAAATAAATAAATCTTTTAAAAAAAAATATGCCAGGGCCTCCCCGGTGGCGCAGCGGTTGAGCACTGGGTTTTGAAGCTGCCTGCGGCCTCTGCAGCGCCGCCGGTTCGATCCCTGGCTGCTCCCCGGCCACCGGAGGAGGGTCCCACATGGCGCGCAGACCTCTCCTGCTGCCCGCTGCTCCCCTCAGCAGTGTATTTCGGTCCTTCTGCCTGTTCTGCTCCCCGCTCTGGCTCTGTGAATTCTCTCACCCTCCCCCGCGCTTCTGACTGTACCCAGTGCATGTATAAACAAAAAACAAACAAATAAATAAATAAACATGCCTCTCTTAAAAAAAAAAAAAAGAATACTTAAAAAAAAAAAAAAATATGACAGTGCCTAGGGCAGCTCTTACAACCTCAGGGCCCCAGATCCCTAAGACCCAAAAGCACCCTCTTTGCTGGAGAAACCCCAGGTATGCCCAGGACTGACACTCCCCAGCCTACCCCCTTGTCAGTATCCCCTTGCTTTTGCTAAGAGTGAGAATAAACCTACCTGAGCAGTTATGTCTTAGGTCGTGGTCCCTTTTCCAGGCCCTGTGCAGGGAAGGAGGCTCCCTCAGAGCCACAAAGGAAAACTGGTACAGGGGTCTCTATATTTAAGGAAAAGAACCTTAAATATATTTAAATATTTCCTTGCAACCCACCCTCCTCCCATACCTCAACCCTAAGTTGCTTGCCCCCAGGCGGAAACCAAGAAATCAGAACTCAGTGCCAAGTTCAGAAAATACTCTACTTGTTATCACACCATTAAGAGTTGTTCAGAATCAGGGCCTTCCTTGTGGTGCAAGGGGTTAAGCATGAGCCCTATGAAGCTATCGGCAGCACGAGTTCCATCCCCAGCCAGGGAGTTACCCACATGGCGCAGCAGACCTCTCCTGGCTCGCCCATTGCTCCCCTATTTCAGTAGATCTGCCTGTTCTGCTCCCCACTCTGTCTCTGGTGGATACTCTCACCCCCCACACCTCCGGCCTGCATCCCAGCTCTTGTATGCGTAAATTTAAAAATTAATCTTTAAAAAAAAAAAAAGAGTTGCTCAGAATCACAGGCAGGTAGGGCCCAGCCAAGCCCAGGGATGAAGAGCAGGCGGGGGAAGAACACTGGGACAGGCTCTTCTGAAAGCACCGCAGAAGGCAAATAGGGTTGCTGCAGATTGAGAGTTTAGGGCCTCACAGACTCAAGTGCCATTCATTTGTACACTCTCCTGGCGCCAGCAACGCCACAGTCATATCCCCATATGTTTTCACATGCATGTCAGGGAATGCCCCTCCTTGAAGCTGGGGGTTCCCAAGGACAGGGAAATGCTGTCATCCTCTGGGCCCCCCAGAGGCTTTTTCTCAGAAAACGCACATGGCAGACACAACTGGACAGGAAATGTGACAGCCAATCCCAAACTCCACCGAATACTTTTCACTTAAAAATATTTATTAAAATAAGCATTAAACCTGAAAGAAAGAATTTCCAGGAGGCAGCCCTTTGCATAGTACTTCAAGAATCAACAAAGAAGGAAGGAAAAAGGAAGAAAGAACATCCCCTCTGCTCTTCCCCAAAGACTCCAGAGAGGAGGAGGGAGGAGACTGGCCCCCCAGCAAAGCCTCCAGCCTCCCTGAGGACAGCAGGGTGAGAAATGAGACCCCAAGACAATTATCCCAAGGGGATGTGAACTTTAGGAAAGTTGATTGGAGGTCTGGAATTTGGGGGCACTGATTCTGAGAGTCTGCAAAGTCTGGAGAGCTGGCGCCAGAGCCTCTAGCTGCCCTTGGGCGCCAGGATCTGTTGTATGTAGTTGACAACGTTGCTGTGGAGCTGGGCTGCGGTGGCCTCGAAGGTTTCCTGGGCGAGGGTCCGGGCTGCCTGGCTGCCCCCCACCATGGCGTGGTACAGTGGGAGGGTGTACTTCTGTTTGCCCTGCAAGACACACACACTCAGGCCACGTTGCCTGCCCCACACCGTTCCCCAGACACTTACCCCGCTAACGCAGGGGTGTCTACATCCAAGAGAAGGGTTGAGGAGCTTAGCACACGGGACTGTACTCAGAAAGCTGCAGGTGAGGATGGATGGCAGATAGGATGGCAGCAGCACAGAAGGCTAAGGAAGGACGTGAGGTTAAAGCAAACCCTAAGTCCTGTTCACATCAACGTGAGCCAGTCACACTACAATTTCCTAAGATCCAGAGGCTTACAGAAGCCTTTGGAGACCTCAGAACACGTCCCCGTGGGCACACAGTTCCCACCACAAGCATACAGGGCACCTAGGCTTCACTGCATACCCAGCCCAGCTCCCAGGCTGCTCTGCAATTGGACAGGTTCACCCTAAAAGCCCCTTGGTCCTTCCCAATGGGCAATGAGCACCCAGGGAGGAGAAACTTGTCTTATTCGTCACGTATCTGGCCTCTCTCCTACGTGCATTTTCCCCAAGACATGCTTCACCTTTCTTCCCAGTTTTGGGTTAGCTCTGACCAGCTTTTTCCCCTCAGGCCTCACAAGCTGCTCTGCCAAAAACTCACTGGCCTTCAGGCTTCCTCCCCGCCACCTTCCACCCACAAGCCTCCAGCTGCCACACTACAGAACAAGGGAGCTTGGAGGGATCCTCAGGGGCCTTCTTACCCTCCCTTTCCAGAAAAGGCAGCTGATGAGGCTCTGCCCACAGGATGAGGGACTGCCCCATGCAGAGGTGGGGGGGGGCGGGGTGAAGGGGGCCACCCACCTGGCTCTGCAGGAATGCCTTCACTTTCCAGAAATCCTCCTGGTGGTCATTCTTGAGCACGATTTGGCCCCATCGCAGCCGGAGCTCCGCATTCTGGGAGCTCGAGATCTTTGGGTATGCCTCTCCCAGTTTCTTCACATTCCCTGGACCAAAAGAACGGGTTATTAACTACCCTGTCAGCAGAGCCATGTGCCAGCGGCCCAGGTCCAGGCAGAGGAGAGCCCGGTTCTCAGAGCTGCCGTGTCTGCCTTCAGGCCTCCCAAAGCCCAGAGTTCCCTGGTCGCCACCTCCCATTCACCCTGCTCACTTTACACTCTAAAGTGGTCATGCCCTAGTCTCATACTCTAGCTGCCAAGGCTCGTCCACCGACTGTCCCCTTGTCCCATCATCCCCCTGGGTCAAGCTCATCCAAACAGTCTTGGAGAGATGCCTGAAGTGCCCTCCCCCACATTTTCTGCTACCTCCCGCCCTCAAAGTGCCATCCTGACTGCAACTTTGTTCTGAATAGCTCCCCTCGTGAGTATTCTCTCAGGCTGAGCAGCCAGCTTTTAAGAGCTCTGGCCTGGCAGGCCCAAGCCCAGCCCCCCACTTACTGGCTGTGCTGCCTGTTTGTGCCTCAAGTTTCGTCCCCATTGCCTGGAGATTAGAGTCACGTCACTTCACAGAGCAGTTATGAGGATTAAGCAACTTCCCAGATTAAGGGGCTTAGCAGAACTGCCCACAGGATGCGAGGACAGAACAGCAGCTCCCAGGGCCATGCACACATCCGCTGCCACATTCCCTGGCAGGGCTGTGTCCAGCTGTACCCTCCCTCCTGCATCTGGAAGTGGCCTTGGGCGAGCATCTCAACTTTTTTTCTGAGTCTTCCTCTGGCCCCATAAAAAGCTGAGCACACTGGAGCCTCGACTCACCTAGTTGAAGCAATCACCCTGGCTTCTTACCGGGAGGAAGAGGGGACTTCTGGAGGATCTTATCCAGGAAGTAAATCAGCTGGTAGGTCTTCCAGGTGGAGATGGCCACGGCATTGATGGCTTTCATGTCCAACTCCTCGGTCACCCACAGCTGGGCCAGCTCATTGGCCGGGGTCATGAGTGCATCCCCAGGGGAGAGGTCAGGGAGATAGGGGGGCCAGCCAGGGGTGTTCAGCCATCGATCAAACTCAAAACCTGTTTGGGAAGAGAAAAGAGCCAGTCAATTCTCTGGCAGCATCAGAGTCAATTCACCCTAGCAATTCGCAGAGGCCTTAAGATCCTGTCTGACTCTCTCCACCCCGAACTGCCTCTCCAGTATTTACTACCAAGTTCCCATGACTACTATGCCAGCAGGTCCCAGCCACCCCGTCGGGACTATTGTCGTTATACCAAACCACTGTTGTTGTTTCTACCATGAAGTGGGTTTTTGCTCCAAATGAACACGCTGCTGTCAGAGCCAAGGGGTAATCCTTTCTAGTTTCCTCCAAGTTCACATTCTCCTCCAGGGGACTGGACAGCCCAGTGCCTAAGTACCTGGGCTCCTGGACCAGGCTGCGTGGGCTCCTAGCCCAGCTCTGCCATTAGCTAGGAGAGGTCATGGCAGGTGACTTCACCTCTCTGCCTCCCAGTTTCATCTGTAAAATGGGGGTGACAGGCCCTGCCATAGTTGGCATTTGTGAGGACTAAGTAAATAAATGCACATGAAGAGCTTAGCATGCTGCCTGGCACACAGTAAGCCCCATAATCATTAACTGTCATTTGCCACGGAGTCTCATGACCTTGAAATTCCTCCAACCAGGAGCAGATGCTTCAAGGCCTGACCAATCCCAGCTGCCAGGGGGCTGGCTGTACCAGGACATTGGTGGGGTGCCTCGGAACTCGCCGCCAGAAGTGGGGTATGTCCAGTGGGCTGTTTCACCCACAAAGGATGTTCTCACTCTCTCTTAGGAAGCGAGTTCCCAGAGAACAGACAGGATCCTCTCTCCTCGTAAACAGGTTTTGAGGTTGATCTTGGGACCTCCCAAGCCAAAACTAGGGCCACAGCCATCACTCAGAATAGCACACGGTAGCTCCACATTCTCTGGCATGAGCCGAGAGTCTTAGCTTGGCAATGGGAGCCCTAAGCAAAGTAAGGTCGGACTACGCACCCCTAGGCACCAGGAGAACCAGGGGGTGAAGCAAGGGGCTGGAGAAAACGAGGCTGGGAGGAGGCGTTGAGAAGTCATTCCTATGGAAAAAAGTCTGGGACCCTGGACTGCTCCCCAAAAGGCCACTTACTAGGTAACACTGACTGTGCCCCAGCCCCACCATACTGTTTCCAAATGTAAATTAGACAGGACCCCCTGCTACTACCTAGAAGCCTGGGGACCAGTTCCTCTTGCTCACCTGGAATGGAATCTACTTTCCTTTTCTTCAGCTCAGGGAAATATTCCAAGTAGAATTCCAGAAAGTCATCCGCTAAGATACTTTGGAATTTAAATTCATCAACATAGGCCTGTGAGAAGGGAGGTACTCTTCAGTTACTCTGCATCCCGGGGTGGGGGCTGCCTCTCCTGCTCAGTCCCTCCTCCAACCCGACCTGTATCTCTTTCACCCCCTGCCTCTGCCCTTGCACTCTGGCCCAAATGCTTTATCTTTTCCTCTCCTTTCTCCCCTTATCTCTTAGGTGACTATACCTTGAGAAAATTGTCAAACTGATTCTGATCGCCCACTAAGTGGGCCAGGTATGACACAAAGCAGAAGCCTTTCTCGTAGGGGGTTTCATTGTAGGTATCGTCTGGGTCAACACCTGGCGGAGGAGAAAGCAGACACAAGTTGAACATGTGGAAACTCTCACCCTCACCGGGCCTCTCCAGCTCAAATTCAAACAATAATTATGGAAGAGTCAGAATTCAGCTTCTCCAAGGAAGCAAGGCCAGGAATACTTCCAGATCCACCTTGGCCTCTCCCTAGCCATTTCAAAGGAGGTCCTAAAGGGCCATTAGCTGTAGACTGACTAAGAGGACAGAGAGCACAGCCTTCTCAGGAAACTGGCAAGTTTCCTTATTCTTGGCATTTCTTTGCTTGGGTGGGTTCCATCAACTTTTAGGATTGAGCACGGGGCTCAGTGCCTTTTCCAGACCTATTGGTCACCACCTGTTCTCAGAACAATGAATGTTCTAGACTAAAATTAATTAATTACCAGTCGACAAGTAGTTCATTTTCATAGTCAATAGCATCAAGGAATGTGAACGTCAATTGCACAGAAAGGTTTTAGATTAGTCATACATGGAATTAAAGAAAAATGTTAGCAAGTGAAAATACACAACCTTGGACAAGTCACTTAACTTGTTTGGTGCTCAATCACGTCCTCTGTAAAATAAGGCTAACACTGGCTATACAAAACTCATAGGGCTGACTTGATGATAGGAAAGGGTTGGCAAAGAGCCTTGTAAAATGAAATGGACCTGTATAAATGCAAAGCAGTGAGAAAGTCATTAACAGCTGCAGGGAACCAGAATGACCCCCTAACTGGCTGGAATGGCCTATAGGAGGGGGCAGCTCCAAGGAGCTCAGGAGGGCTCCTCCCTCCCGTGAGAGTTAAGTGTGCCCTCATCAACATGAAGCTCAAAGTAAGCTGGGGCCCGAGCCAATTTAGGGGAGAGAGTCAGACAGAGAGGCCTTCTGGACCTGGTTCGATCTTCACCCGGAGCTTGTTGAGTGGGTGGTCCTCGCCAGTGATGTCCATGTGCTGCCGAAGCAGAGCCCGCCCGGTGGCAGCTTCCAGGCAGGTGTAAGCAGCTCCTGGGCAAAAGAAAGCAAAGGCTGGAACTTGTCACTACATCCCAGGATGTATTTTCCTGACAGAAGATGCTGTGCTGCCCCCTTCTGGTCACGACTGTTGCCTGACGCTAAACCCATCACCCTTTTGGGAACCAGAGGTAAAAGGGTCACTGATGGAGACCCTGGCTCAGCGCCAGCTCCCCCCCACCCCTTGCTCTGGGTCAGAAAGGACTTGGTCCCACTCAGGTTGTCTGTCTCCCCCAAACACAAAGACTCCAGGAATCACATCTCTTCCTCTGCCAATTGCAGTTTTATTTTTTTTAAACAGGGCCTCCCTGGTGCTGCTGGGGTTAAAGTCTCAGCACTATCAAGCTATTGCCAGCCACTGAGGCCTGAGTTCAATCCCTGGCCATGGAGCTGACCCACATGGTGCAGCAGACCTCTCCTGTCTCCCTGCTGCTCCCTTCAGCAGTGTATTTCAGTAGATCTGCCTGTTGTGCTCCCCACTCTGTCTCTGGTGAATTTGATCTTCTATGAAAACAGAATGTTTTTATTTATTCCTGTCAGTCAAGAGAAACTGTCAACCAAAAACTGTCTCAGGGTCTCTAAATCTTCTGGCTCTAAAAATGGCTAAGGCAAAGGTCGGTGGTGGGGGTCGGCGTGGAGGAAGAGGGGCAGGGGCACCCAGTTTCTGAACCAGCCAGCACTGCCACCATTACATGTTCTCACTCTGGACAAGGACTGACCTCTCAGCCTTAGTCGCCTCATCTGTGCAGCGGGATAATAACATTTGCTTGCACAGTTCTTAGTGGCTGATACAGACATTCACAAACAGGCTTTTTCTATATTCTGGACAAAAGTGTAAATTTGCACAAACTTTCTGGGAGGCAATGGATAATTTGTGTTAAGAAGCCTTTAAAACGTTCAGATCCAGAAATTATATTTCCTTATTGAAATAATCTGAACTATGTATTAACATTTTTATATAAAGATGTTTGTCAAAATATTATTTCATTGGAAAATTGAAAACAACCTATTTAATAACTAGAGTTTGAAGGAATATATTATGAAATGCCCTCACTGTGACTCTGTAGAAGAAAATGTAGTGATTTGGGAAAACATTTAACTGCACTAAATTAAGAGAGAAAAGCAATCGTAAAACTAGATATAGTCTGATGATTTGCATAAATAGAAAAAAAGTTTGAAAGGACATACATGGATTAATTGTGAACAGTGAGATTATCGATAAATGTTTTTGTGTGCTTTTTCATATATGCAAAATAGATTTAGGTCAGTAATATAATAAAAATAGAAAAGCCTATATTTTTAAAGCACCTGATATACAGTAGACTTTTAATAACAAGACAGTGCTCAGAAGTATTTTAAAAATGCATCAGGGCTCAATTTGAGGTTCTGCCCTTATCTGCAAAGTGGTTCAGGCATAGTTCTTAAGTTGCCTGAGTCACAGTAAACTCATAAATAAAACGGAAATAACATCTCTTTCCATAAAGTTACTGTAAAATCATTGAAAGAGGTCTAATACCTAGATGGTATTATAACCTAGGTCTAATACCTAGGTTCCTAATACAAAGATGATTTTCAGGTAACGATTAGATAGAAGATCAATAGAATGATTAGACAATCATTGATAGAAGGTAATGATTAGAATGATCTTATAGTTCCTTCCTAAAATTAACCAGCTATCTGGGTAAACAACCATGGACAAGCTCACCCAGCACTTAGGCCTGGCCTTAGGGAGATCAGAGGTTATAGAAAGGGGCCTGTTCACTGCTAATCCATCTATTAGTTCATTCAGTCCACATATAGTTTTTGAGATTCCTTCACCCTCACCCCTCCCCCGACTGAGTTAGCAACATGTCATGAAATCATTTACTTAAAAATAACATTTTTCTAGGACTTCCTGCACTATCTCTTCCATTCAACCCACACATGTCCCCAAACCTCAAAAGGAAGGCCCCCCTGGAGGTGCAAGGGTTAGTCTCAGCACTATGAAGCTATCGCCCACCACTACAGCACGAGTTTGATCCCAGGCCAGGGAGGTGACCCACATGGCACAGCAGACCTCTCCTGTCTCCCCACTGCTCCCCTCAGCAGTGTGTTTCGGTAGATCGCCTGTTCTGCTCCCCACTCTGTCTCTGGTGAATCCTTTCACCCCCCTCACCTCTGGCCTACACCCCAGTTCTTCTATGCATAAATAAAAAAAACACAACCTCAAAAGAAGATCACAACTGGCTTCACAGGGGAGGGGTGGGTGCTGGGTCCCTACAGGGATGGGCACCTGAGAGTTGGCTTACCATAGAGGACGGTGGCGATCCTCCTCTGGGCATACATGGTGAAGCCTTCATTGAGCCAGAACTCACCCCAGTTGGCATTGGTGACCAGGTTCCCAAACCAACTGTGGGAGATTTCATGGATGATGACATCAGCCAAGGAGCGGTCCCCTGCTAGCAGGCAGGGGGTGACAAAGGTCAGACAAGGGTTCTCCATTCCTCCAAATGGAAAGGACGGTGGCATGAAGAGCAGGTCATACCTGCCAAGAAAGTGGACGGTCAGGGAGGCCCCTTCCCGCGATGACTCCCAGCCTCCTTCCTAGCCTTGACAGGCACAGCCACGGAGCAGGCTGCATATGGCCCCGGGCCCAGCACTGATAATGTCGCACAGGCTCCTCCGTCCTCCTGCCAAGTGGCTTCCCTCTGCCAAGTGCCAAGTCTAGGACTTCCCTCTCCCAGGTGGTATTTGCTCTTTGTGAATTCTCATTTTTAACAGCTCTCCAAAACCTGCACCTTCCAGTCTCCTTGCAAGCATGGGATGGGCATGTCATCAGCGCAATCAGATTCTGTGGCCAACCCAGGGCCACAAAGACTAAAGTGGGGCCTTTCATCTGAGGGTGTAAGTCTGAAGACTTAATGGGAAAACAGGAGTGTGGGGCTACTGCAGCAGCTGGGAAGGATCCCCAGGGGTTCCGAACAGGGTCCCGCACTCCAGCTCAGTCACTTCAAGGCTCATTTTACCACTTCCAGACACCTCTCAGGTCCCTCCTCGGTGGCAAGGGACAGGGACAAGGCCTGGCTTCTCCCTTCTACTTCTTCCTCCTCTCTCTTTCAGGGAAACAGCTGGGGAAACAGCTCCAGGAAACCAGTGGAAGAGAAGCAGAGCCAGAGGGACAGAAGGGAAATCAGGGACTGTGCTGAACAGAAGATGTAAAAGTCAACGTGATACCACACCTTCCCCAGACGTAGGGTCCAAAAAGTTTCTCTCCGGTTGCCAAAAATTCTTCTATTACCCCGTCATATTCCTTCTTGGCATCCTCGATCAGGCAGGGCTCGGCCCACACCCGGCTCCTAGAGACGAGGGCACAGAGAAGCAGAGTGGGGCTTAGGAGCCCTTGTGGTGACTTGATCCTAAAGCACCATATTTTCCATAGAAAATTGGCTTCGGCCTCATATTTGAGCCAAGTGAAGAAATAAGAACCCAGCAACCTGGGGGGGGGGTACCCCCAGGCTATGGGCTCCAAGCCTCAACGCTATCATTTCTGATTCTCACACTGAATGCAACCTTGCAAAAATTATTTAATCTCGCTGGGTCTCAGCTTCCTCGCCTGTAAAACAAGGGGTGAAAACAAGAGCACATAAAGGCCCTTCACACAGGAGCCTCCCTGGTGGCGCAAGGGGTTAAGTTGCAGCACTATGAAGCTCTCTGAAGCTATTGCAGCACAAGTTCGATCCCCGGCTGGCCAGGGAGAAAACCACATGGTGCAGCAAACCTCTCCTGACTTGCCTGCTGCTCCCTTCAGCAGTATATTTCAGTCAATCTGCCTGTTCTGCTCCCCACTCTGTCTCTGGTGGATTCTCTCACCCTCCCCTACCTCTGGCCTGTACCCCAGTTCTTGTATGCATAAATAAATAAATCTTTAAAAATAAAATAAAGGCCATCCCTGTTCAGGAAAGAAGCAGAAACAATTCTTGCAATAGGATCTTTGAAACTGAAAGAAACCTAGGAGGTAAACCTATGAATAGTGAAAGGAAACCATTTCTTGTCTTGGGTGCAATAATGCTATTGTGGTTATTAAGGGGGAATCTCTTTATTCTCAGGAGAGGTATACTGGTTTACTTTTTTTTTTTTTTTTTAAGATTTATTTATTTATGCATACAAGAGCTGGGGTACAGGCCAGAGTTGTGGGGGTTGAGACGATTCACCAGAGACAGAGTGGGGAACAGAACAGGCAGACTGAGTGAAATACACTGCTGAGGGGAGCAGCGGGCAAGACAGGAGAGGTCTGCTGCGCCATGTGGGTTGCCCCCTGGCCGGCCGGGGATCGAACTCGTGCTGCAGAGGCTGTGAATTGCTTCATAGTGTGGTGCTTAACCCCTTGCGCCACCAGGGAGGCCCTACTTTTAAATGGTCTAGCAAAAAATAAAACAAGTTTACACATCAGTAAAAACCACAAGGCAGTGGCTGGGCATATAGGTATGTGCCCACTGCATCCTTCTTTCCATTTTCTGTAGGAAATTTTCATAACAAAAGAGGAGGAAACAAATGTGAAAACCCAGCCTGATGGAGCGTGAAGACTGGCAGGGAAGTGATTAGCCCAAGGCCAGTCACTGATTTCCAGGATGAGCCAACCCCAGAGCCCAAGGGGCCTGCAGCCCAGGCTGTGGCCCGCAGGTGCCCCTGGCTGCTCCGTGGAACCATCTCCCACATGGACACTCAGAATCGAGCGAGCGATGACAAAGCGACAGGCCCAAGGTCAGGAGGAGGGAAGCTGCCTTTCTGTGCCTGCAGAACCTCAGGAGTGGCTCCAGCAAGAAAGGGATGAGGACGGCAGTGGCCAGTGCTCCCCAGGAGCAAACCCAAGCTGAGCAGTGGGAGGGGCACATGCGACGAGGAAGGCAAGAGCCTGGGACAACCGGGCATTCAACAGCAAACCGGGGGTGGCAGCAGGGCTGGAGAGGCGGGAGGAGCGGGTCACCATGGCCTCCCATGCCTCATGACACACCAGCACCCTGAGAGGCCCAGGAGCACTGAAGCCCACAGGGGATGGTACTGACTGAGTTCTGGAGAGAGATCACTCTAACTCAGGACCAAAGAACAGGTTAAATCACAGAGATGAGTAACTTGCCCAGGAAGAGCACAGTAGTAGGAAGAACTGGCCAAGGACAGACCCCTGGGGAACATCAACACAGGAAGCCCTGGGCAGAGAAGGGTCTAGAATGCAGACCAGTCTGATCACCCAGGAGGCCCCAGAACCAGGAGAGGCCAGAGAGGGGGGTGAACAGAGTAGGTGACATGCAGCAGAACAGTAAGGACCAGAAAGTATCCCATGTCACATCCCACTGAGGCCAACAGCCTCTTACTCCAGGAGCTCCAGGGTTCCAGCGGGTATGTGGGGAGCTGGGGTATATACACTCCTCTTCAAAGAAACTGGACTCAGAAGGGGAGCAGAAAGGGGATAGGGGTGCTGGACAGGAATATGGACTGAGTTTTTGTTTGTTTTTAAAGATTTATTTTATTTATGCATGCATGCAAGAGCTGGGGTGTAGGCCAGAGGTGTGGGGGGCAGGGAGAGGATTCACCAGCAAGAGTGGGGAGCAGAACAGGCAGATCTACTGAAATACACTGTTGAGGGGAGTAGCGGGGAGACAGGAGAGGTCTGCTGAGCCATGTGGGTTATCTCCCTGGCCGGGGATCAAACTCAGGCCGCAGTGGCTGGCAATTGCTTAATAGTGCTGAGACTTTAACCCCTGTACTACCAGGGCCTCCGCCCTGGACTCAGTGAGTTTTTTGGATTGAATTTGCCTTTTCCTTTATTTTGAACCTTCCAGAGGAGGGAACATGTTTAAGGAAAGAGCTGACTGAGGTGGGGGCTGGCAACCTGAAGACAGAGGAGTCGATGTCAAATCAGTGGCTTAGATAAAATTTGGCTTAAAACAGAAGGAAGGGCCCCTTATAACATCCAGAGGGAGACAGGGAAGGATGGAGGCAGGTGAAGATGGCTTGTGAAGTGGAGGACAGAAGCTGATGTCCTAAGAGAGATTACATATTCTTGGTAAAGCAGGAGATAAGATCATCTGTCTGCTTGGCACATACTTGAATAAGAAAATCAGAAGGGCAGAGTCTTAGGAGAGTTTAAGGAGTAAGTGGAGAGATGAGCAGATCGAAAGCATCCCTGTAGCTGAAGACTACATTTGCTGTATTTTTCTTGAAAATGACATAAATGTCTATTTCAATTTTTCTTTCATTTCAACTTTTCACCAAGAAACCCGAAGTGTGTAGTGGTATCAGTGGGCCATCATTTTCGCTGTCTGCCAACACCCAGGTATAGAGGTAGAGGAAGGGAGTAGTTGGATCCAGGGCTGGGACACAGAGTCCCGACACCAGCAAGGGACTTGGGATATAGAGGGAGATTAGCCACCTGGGCCAGGGAGAGGAAGCTGGCCAGGCTGCCTGGCTGGACAAAGGGGAGGCCTCCCTGAGCTTGAGGAACAGATGTAGTGGAGTACAGTGGGAGGGAGGCTGCCAGAGAGCCAGAAGGCAAGTAGGGTACAGAGGACAAATAAGGTCAAGGTGTTTAAAATGTCTGATATGGTTCAGTTGACATAATGTCTGTATTTAGGTCCTGGATTCTAGAGTGTGGCTGTGAGTGTGGGTGGCTGAGGGTAAAAAGGGTCCCTGAGTGGAAGACAGTCTGGAAACTCTTAAGCTACCTCAACCCTTACAAGTGCGGCCAGATCATCCACAGAGAGAAAATGGTTACCCAAACAGGAAGCTAGGCTGACAAAAAAACAGGACCTAGACCTAGAGCTCTGTTCTTAAGGAATTCCTTTGTGATCTTCTGCATCACCAGCTTGGATATTGCAATTAGTCACCCTTTAGCCCATGAAACCTCAGCTCACTACACCTAGAAGAAGCTTAAGCTAGCCAGGGGACAGCCAAGATATTTCCAATGGGACATGTTTCTGTCTAACAAAGCTAAGACATTCTCAGTGAGGCTGGATCTTATCGCAGGGAGACAAGTGCAAAGAGCACTCAATCTACAACAGAAACACCTGGATTTGAATTCCAGTTTCGCCAACTGTGTGACTCTGTACAAGCCATTTCACCAAAGCCTCCATTTGCTTATCTGCAAAAAACACTGCTGAGGGGAGCAGCTGGTGAGACAGGAGAGGTCTGCTGCGCCATGTGGGTCAGCTCCTTGGCTGGGGATCGAACTCGTGCTGCAGTGGCTGCCCATAGTTTCATAGTGCTGAGACTTAACCCCTTGTGGATCAAGGGAGGCCCTGAAATGTATTTCTTAAATAAAAAGATTAGAAAGCTGAAATGACTCATTGTTTGAGGAGGATTTTTATATTTCCTCACTGCATGTATGTAAGACTTAGAAGAGCTAATTCATAAAAGGAAGGACTGGGATGGATCCATTACACTCTTATTTCCATCACACCTCTCCCCAGACTCATAAGCCCCTAAGATGTGACCCAAGAGGTAAGAATTGCCCTCCTAATGGGGCAGGGCTATGATCAGCATCAACTAATGGTTCTGTCCCATGGCTTGATATGTTGCTGTTTTATCACAAAGGGTTCCACAAAAATTATAATTATCCAGTGTGTTTAGAATATACTGTTGTCTTATTTCCTATTAATACTTAATACTAGTACCTACAGAAGTTTAGTAACAGTGATTTCTCCAAAATGGCACCCCTTAATTATATATTTTCCTGTCAACTGCCTAGCAAACATGTCTTTGGCTATCTTCTACCCAACTGTCGGGAAGACAGCCCTTCATCCTGTCTTTCAAGACTGGTATTGCTTGAGTGTGGGAGCTGGAATGGAATCCCATCTATCATTCCTTCTGAAACCCAGAAACTTAGGCTCATCATTCCGGCAAAGCTACAGAGCTCAGCTGAAGTCTGAGGTCTGTAAGTAATCCTGTCAAGGATACCACCATCAGCAGGAACTGAGAGCAGGGCCAGAGATAAAGAACAGTAAAGGAGGCAGGAAAAGTGGCTCTGTCCAACCTTTGATCCTCTCACATCAGGATAAAGCTATACTGGCAGATAACATGGCAGCCAGGAAAAACCTATATGCCTGCTCAAATTTCTTTCCTCATAAAACATTCCAAAATCATTATTTATCTTGACTAAGTCCATGGAAATTCATGGAGTTTCAGGTTTATGCATCTGGTGCAGACGAAGAAGGAGTTTCCAATCTCCTTTCTAGAGGGAAACAATGAAATCAAAGTTATTTATTTCTAGGAAGTAAGAACTAAAGAAAATGGGGAGGTGTGGTACAAAGATTAAAAAAGCAAATATAGTTGTTAAAAGGGAATCTGGAACTTAAACATACAATCTCCTAAAATTGCTGCCTAAGCTCCAACCTCACTCTGCAAGGTAGCCCACGGCAGCAACGGCTGATGATCTCATTCCAAACAGCAGGATTAGACTGGAGGGATGGAGAGAGGGAGAAAGAAATGGAAGGGAAGGGACTCCCTGGTGGCTCAAGGGTTAAGCATCAGCACTATGAAGCTATCATCAGCCACTGCAGCACGAGTTCGATCCCCAGCCAGGGAGATGATCCACATGGCACAGCAGACCTCTCCTGTCTCACCCCCTGCTCCCCTCAGCAGTACATTTCAGTCAGTCTGCCTGTTCTATTCCCCACTGTCTCTGGTGAGTCCTCTCACCACCACCACCCCCACTGCTGGCCTGTACCCCAGCTCTTGTATGCATAAATAATCTGTATGTACACTGCATGCTTCTTGCTGCAGAAAGACCCTAGACTCAGAGAACCACTCCAGCAGGTCTACTGGTCCAAGGCCTCCTGACTTCAGAGGTCAAGCCAACCTTGCCTTTGGTGTCTTGGTCTCCTACCTGGGTCCAACTTCAGCTGAAACCAGGTCTCCGACGGCCAAAGCTATCAGATAGGCGGGGATGGGCTGATGCATATGGAAGAAGAACTTATTTGGGCCTCTCTTCTGCCAGGTGTCAGCACTCATCACAGCTGTGAAGCCATCTGGGACCTGACAATAGAGAATGCTTAAAAGAGGTTACCTGGAGGGCCCCCTTCGATGAGCTTGAAGAACAGCACAAGCAGCAACCTGTGCAGAGCTAGAGTGCTTCTTGAAGCATACAGAAGTTTTAAGAAATTAAACTTGTGCTAATCTCATGGAATTTAGCACACGTAAGATTTCTGTTAAGTGGGGAAATTTTTCTGGGTGAATGTAATAATTCACCAAATGAAATATGACCTTAGATCTGAAATTATATTTTCAATTCCCAGCATAGGTACGCTTAACCTGAGACCTCTTACCTCAATAAGAGCGGAATATTTGCATTTCACTGCAGGAGTGTCAAAGCAAGGGAAGAAGGCCCGATTTAGGACAGCCTGACCTTGGGTATAGACAAAGGGCTTCTTCTTTCCTGCTGTCTGCTCAGGAGTCAACCAGCAAACCTAAGAGAACAGAACATTTCAGAACTGACAGCCCCTGCATGAACTCAGTGTTGCCAGAGAAAAGGAGCTGGTTAGCCTGGGAGAATTTTAGGTAAGCTTCACCATCTTTTTGTCAGCCAGTTTGGCTCTGACTGGGAAATTCTCTTACTGTGTATGATGTCCTCTTCACAGAGCGGAAACACCACAAAGGGTCCATTCCTCACTGTATACCAAGGGTCACAGACCTAGCCTCTGACCCTATCATTGTGTCTTCCTCCTCTGTGTCTGTCTCCTCATCAACAAACAAGTACAGAAGCAGCTGTATTTGAACTGGTATTAAACAACAGAAAAGCAGAACTTCCGGAAGGAGACCATGAGTAACAAATGTTTCCACTTCTAAATTGTAGATTTTTAGAATAAATGTATTTAACAGAGTAGGCATTTGGCTATGGTTCTTAACCAAGCAAAGGGAAGGAGGATATGTCTGCACCAAATGCCATATTAGAATTCAGTGAAGGGTTGGATGAGTCCAGGAAATTTTCACAGGGAAGCAAAACTTTCTGTTTGGGGCTTCAGAGGTGAACAGGACTTAGCTGGAAGGGAGAAGACATTCTGAGAGAGGCGGGCAGGAGGACAGGCATGGAGGAGGCACGCTCTGGGAAGTGGCAGGTTTCAGGACAAGAGGTGTGAGCATGGCTGGCACGAGTAACAAAGGGCCTTGAACACAGGGATACGAGACCTATTTTTAAAAAGCATAAGGAAGCCATACTGGGAAGCCGTTGGGCTTTCTTGGTTTGAGCTCATAAGTATATATGTGTGAAAAATTTTAATTTGGAGTTCCCTTCCAAAAAATACAGCACAGATGGAAAGAGGGGGAAAGAGTAACTTCACAGTGACCAAGGTCAATAACAGTCATAAATCATGTTGATAATGTACCCTCAATATGATGGAATGAAAATGGCATTTATTTCTGTGAATTTCCACTCAATTTTGCTAAAACTGCTCATTAAAATGTCTATTTTGAAAATCCATGATCGTGAGAAAACAAGATTCCAATAAAGGGACAGCCTACTTAAAACTGTCAAGTTCATCAAAACATGGCAAGTTTTTCATAGCCAGGAGGAGAGTAAGGATATAAGAGAGCTAAATATACTGCAGTATTCTGGATGGGATCCTGGCATGGGAAAACATTATAGGAAAACTAAGGAAATACGAAAAAGCTGTGGACTTTTATAATAATGTATCAACACTGGGTCATTGGTTGTAATAAATGCATCATACTTATAGGAATAGAGTGTATGGAAACTTTGTACTATCTGCTAGATTCTTCTTTTAATGTAAAGCATTTCTTAAAAATAAGTCCTGTTAATGAAAAAAATTGAACAAGCTAATATCAAGTATTCACTAAGTATCAGGCACTGTATTAGGCACTTACATAAAGATAACTCATTTAACTCCTGTCAAGCATAGACTAATGTCTGACCCATCTTACTACTGATCAGATCCATCAGAGGAATCACTAGCTATAGCAGTGATAATCTTAGGGATTTCTTTTTTTAAGATTTATTTTTATTTATGCATACAAGAGCTGGGGTATAAGCCAGAGGTACAGGGGGAGGAGGATTCACCAGAGACAGACTGGAGAGCAGACAGGCAGATCCACTGAAATACACTGCTGAAGGGAGCAGCCGGGGAGACAGGAGAGGTCTGCTGAGCCATGTGGGTCAGCTCTCTGGCTGGGGATCAAACTGGTGCTGCAGTGGCTGCCCATAGCTTCACAGTGCTGAGACTTAACCCCTTGTGGGTCCAGGAAGGCCCTGAAATGTAGTTCTTAAACAATAAGATTAGAAAGCTGAAATGACTAATTGTTCAAGGAGGATTTTTGTTTGTTTGTTTTGATAACATGAAGAAAATAAATGAAAGAGCCTGGCAATACATACATTATAGAAAGAGTCAAAAGTCCGGGGAAAGCTGATCCCAGCAATGATTAAGGTAAGCGGTCTCACTGGAGTGGAGGCAATGAGAAGAAGGAATATATATATACAAGTGCCATCAACATAGGCCTTCAAAGTGCAAAGGGCTATTCTCCGTAAAGCCCCACCAAAGAAGCAGCTCTGCCATTATGTCTGCAATGAAAGTCAGTTAGTTTTGCTGTTTAAGCTGAGATTGAATTCAGGGAGGCTTATTTTTTCCCTGTTATCCTGTTTTATTTCGAATTCCTGCTAAAAAGGGGGAACCAGAGTCTAACAACCAAACACATGACAGATGTGACAGTATCTCCAGAAGGTTTTGGGTTTTTCCCCAGGCCAATTTTGCATTGCTTTGGAATTGCATTTCTTAAAGTTCTATAAGGTTCATTTATTCCCCCATTGGTGAAAGATGGGAACAGAACTGCCCTTTGAGCCAGTCCCAAGAGCAGAAGGGAACTGCTAGTCAGATAACCAAGCTTGAGATAACCAAGCTTGGAGATTTGCAATCCATGGTGAAACCTGTACCTCACCCCATCTGAGAAATCACTAGCAACCACAGCCCAAGGCCTCCAGAGGATCTGCTGACTCCGACAAACGTAGGCCACATAACCTTCTATCTTACTTCTGCTTCCCTCAATTTTGATATTTGCTGATATTTTCCCCTAAAATATTTCCTAATAGTTGTCCCCCGATGAACATTTAAAATTTGAGAGTCAATCAACAAGGAGATGGCCAAGTTATTATAAAGTTCAGTATACCCTAATTCCATTATCACCTTATTCAAATTCTTTTGTTAATCAAATCCAGGACTTCAAGCAAAGAATCAAAAATAATCATCTGAGTTTCACAGCTATTGCAGCCTGTGGCACTATTAGGGCACCTACAACGAAGAACTGAGTCAGCAACCGGGCTAATTACCGGCCTTGTTCAGGGCCACCAGAAAGCAAAAACTAAGTAGCTAATGGTCGGGGACCGCGGCCCCAAAGCCCGTGACAGCTTTAAGTTCCATGCATGACTAGTTCGTTATCCAAGAGGCCGCCCAGGATAAGGTTACCTCCTCCGGCAGAAACGCAACGGAGAGCCGCGTGGGGACCGGGAAGCGGCGGTGACCTGGCCCCGCCACTGCAAGGCCAGGAGGGCAGGGGAAGGAAGAAGGTGCACAGCACGCGGGCTGAAGGGGTGAGAAGCCAGAAGAGGAAATCCAGGGCAGCCAGGGAGGGAAAAAAGGTGGGCGGGCAGGGGGTGTGCACAGCGGGAGCTCCGACCCTCCAGCAGAGCCTCGGGAACCTCTTCCTCTCCCTCCTCGGGGCGTGGAGGAAGTGCGGGCGCAGGAGCCCGCTCGGGGCCGGAAGGTTGAGCGGGAGGGTCGGGGGCGCGGGGCCAGGCCGGGCGGGGGCTCACTCACCCCGGGCCCCTCCCCGACGCGGTAGGTGAGCAGCAGCTGGAAGCGCTGGCCGGCGGCGCAGGGCTGCGGAAGGCTCAGGCACAGGGCCTGGCCGTAGCGCGAGAAGGGCTCCGTGCGGAAGGCCACGGGCTCCGCCGGCGGCTCCTCCACACCCGGCAGCTGGCGCCGCCACGCCGCCTCGGTCACCTCCAGGCACGGGTGCGAGTCCAGCCGCAGCTCGGAGGCGCCCTCGGGCTGCAGGCACCTCAGCTCCAGGACCGCCTGGCCGCTCAGCCCCCGGCTCCCCGGGCTGGGTCCGGGCGGCCCGAACTGGATCCGCAAGTCCAGGTGTATGTGAAGCATCGCGAAACTCCGGAAACTGGAGGCCGTGGCCACGTCCACGGCCCGCGCGGAGTGCAGCGGCCGCGGGATTGCGCGGCCGCCTGCGGAGGCCCCATCGCTCGCCATGGCCCGGCGCCTGTGTTTGCCGGCTGGGGAACGCCGGCCGGCTCCCGCCCGCCGGGGAAGCCCCGCCCCGAGCGCCGCGCAGGCCCCGCCCCGACGCGCAGGCCCCGCCCCGAGCGCCGCGCAGGCCCCGCCCCGAGCGCCGCGCAGGCCCCGCCCCGAGCGCCGCGCAGGCCCGCCCCGCCGCGCAGGCCCCGCCCCGCCGCGCAGGCCCCGCCCCGGGGTCCGCGCAGGACCACGCCCCCCTCCGGGTCTGTCCATCCCCGGCTTCTCTGCCTGTCTACAGCTACCTCGAGACCTTGAGCGGGAGAGAACGGTGGAATAATCTGGTCCACTTGTGCCCGAATTCATCCTTCCGAGATGTTGCAGTAGTCCGATGTCACCCCTCTCTGCGGACGGTGCCAGTGTTTGGATCTTCCAGGCAGTCAGGTGGTTGCGGGTTGAGCCCTGGCTTGGGAGTTCTCAAGCGCGGCTGTCAACCAGCTCTTAGGACTGTGCGTCTCCTTGGGCACAGCTCCCCCAAGGAAGGTGAATATTTCAAGTCTCTTTCTGCGTCTGGGGAACAGGAGTGATTCTCTCTCAGGAGGTCATTGTGAGAATTCAGTCAGGTGTTGGGTCTGAGCACGCTCGGTAGTCGGCAAATAATTCCACACCGGGTCAAGGGGCTCCGGGTATACCTGTCTTTCCTTCTCCTCCCCTTGACTGTCCTTAGTGCTTCAGTTTTATCTTCTTTCCTGTACTGTAAAGTTTATTGAGCTAGAAACACCTCTACTACTTTATACTTTCTCTTCTTAGCTCCTCTGAGACTAGGAGCCAGTCCATGATGCTCTTTATCCAGGAAAAGAATTTTTTTAAAAAAGACAATGTAGGGAATTGAGAATAGTATCCTATTACGTGTTTGCTGGTGTTAAAAACATTTTATCTTGTGAAATGCTATGGCAATTTTTAAAATTCCATGTAAGGTTGACGTCAGTTTTCTTGGTTTCAACTTACTGCCTGATGAAACACAAACATTTTAGAAAACCATTTTTCTGACACTGAGCACAGGGCTTGGTACTTATTAGATATTTAATAATCTACCTTCAAATTATTCTTTCTCCGATGCAATATATTTTTGTTGAACAGCTATTATACACCAACTGTTAGACTGGATATTGAGGATACAATTGTATTTTTTCTCTCAAATTGTACTGTTTTGTCAATCATTTACATAACTTTATAGTGTTGGGAATACAACTTCACACCTCTGTGTGTGCTCATCCTCTAGAGTCAGTCCACCATCCTCTTTGCCCCACCCATCCCTTCTGGTGACCAGCATATTTTTTCAGTGTCTAAGAATTATCTCTGCTGTATTTTGTCAGGTTTTTTTTTTTTTGGTTATTTATATTCTGCAAATGAATGAAACCATCAGTAAGTCTCTCGTTTTCAGACTTATTTCACTTAGCACAATCATCCCAAGGTCCCTCCATTTTGTCCCAAAAGGCACTATTTCATCTTTTTAACAGCTGAGTAATATTCCATTGAGTGTACATACATCAATTTCTTTATCCTTTCATCTGTGAATGGGCATTTCACAGACCTTTCTCTTGTGACTACACTGCTCTGCTAAAAATCTTGTTGTCATATTAGTGTTTTATGTTATTCTAGAAGGTGTTGCATTGAATCTTAAATTGCTTTAGGCAAATGGCCATTTTAACAAGTTTATTCTTCCAATCCATGAAGACGGGATATCTTTCCATTGTTTTGTATAAGTCTGTTATTTTCTTTGACTGTCTCAGAGTTTTTTCACCTCTTTTGTTAAGTTTACTCCCACGTATTTCATCTTTTTTTTTTTTGGTGTAACCATAAATGGATTGTTTTTGTAGGGTACAGTTTTCCTAAGTCTGGCATAGTCCCTGTCGTGCTAATGGTCAAGCTCACATTTTTAGCTTACAGGCAGGGACACAGGTCATGACAACCCATGTGCTGTTATGATTGGGGAGAACAGGATGGCAGTCAAAGGCAACAGGCAACACCCAGCCTTATCTTTCCAGTTAAATACTGAAGGAGGAAGAGAATCTATTATTCTTAGCTATAGGGTAAATTTTTAGAGTTAAGATGTCTGCTCCTTCCTGGGAATATGAGTAGCCTCATTCCCACTGTTCTAATCTCTGCTGCCCTGAGGACTCCCAAGGTGTCTGATTTACCTCTAGATGATATTGTAACAACTTACTCACAGCAGAGAGATTCAGGAAGGCTGCCCTCTCTGTAGAACAGAGATACTGTGGCCACAACCTGCCTCTCTCCCAAGTTGATTTCAACCTTTATTCACCATTTATTCAGAGATACGGCAGGTTCTGTTCCAAAGCACCACAGTAAAGCTAATAGTGTGGTAAAGCAAGTCACAATTTTTTTGGTTTCCCAGTGCATTGAAAAGTAGTGTTTACACTGTACAGTGGCGTATTAAGAGTGAATAGCTTGTCTAAAAAAAGAAAGTACATAACTTAATTTTAACATGCCATATTGCTGAAAAATGCTAACTTTCATCTGAGCCTTTAGGGTGTTGTTTTTTGCTGGTAGAGGTTCTGGCCCCAGTTTTGGCTGCTGACTGATCAGGATGCTTGGTGGGTGCTGAAGGCTGGGGTGGCTGTGCCAGTTTCCTTAAATAAGACAACAATGCCATTTGCTGCATTGATTGACTCTTCCTTTCATGAATGATTTCTCTGGAGTACGTGATGCTGTTTCATAGTATTTGGTTTTTTGTTTTTTTTTTTTTTATAGAGGCATGTTTTTTTTTTTTTTTTTTTTTATTTATTTATTTGTTTGTTTGTTTGTTTATACAAGCACTGGGTACAGTCAGAAGCGGGAGGGTGAGAGAATTCACCAGAGCCAGAGCGGGGAGCAGAGCAGGCAGAAGGACCGAAGTACACTGCTGAGGGGAGCAGCGGGCGGCAGGAGAGGTCTGCGAGCCATGTGGGACCCTCCTCCGGTGGCCGGGGAGCAGCCGGGGATCGAACTGGCGCCGCAGAGGCCGCGGGCAGCTTCGCAACCCAGCGCTCAACCGCTGCGCCACAGGGGAGGCCCTGTTTCATAGTATTTGATTCACAGAAGTTGTTTCAAAATAGGAGTAAATCCTCTCAAACCTGCTGCTGCTTTATCAACTATGTTTATGTAACACTCTCAATTCTTTCAATGTTCACATCTTTACCAGGAATAGATTGCAACTCAAGGAAGTGCTTTCTTGCACATTCACAAGAAGCAACTGATCCATTCAAGTCTTATCCCGAATTGCAGCAATTCAGTCACATCTTCAGGCTCCATTTCTAATTCTGTTTCTCGCTATTTCTACCACATTTTGCAGTGATTTTTACTGAAGTCTTGAATCCTTCAAAGTCTTCCATGGGGTTGGAATCAGCTTCTTCCAAACCTGTTAATGCTGATATTTTGACACAAATAAACACAAAGAATGGGATGCAAAATTGAAGGGTGAACCAAACCAGTGGATAAATTTAAACATTGTATAAAGCAATGATACAATGTATTCATAATGTTTGTAGGAGTGAATTAGATAAAGATAAATTCTAGGCTGAAAGAACACAAGGAGAAAGGTTGAAGCTAAAGCTCCTAGAACTATAAGGGAGTTCAAGATCACAAGGTACCATCTCAATGTATAAAACCCAGCTGAATTTCTATTTAGTAGCAATGCATAATGGCTTTTGACATTAAAAAAAAAAACTACTTAAATAGTACTCCCCAAGGGCCTCCCTGGTGGCCCAGTGCAGTGCTGTGAGGCTGTCCACAGCCTCTGCAGCACCGGTTCGATTCCCGGCCAGCCAGGGAGATTCCCACACGGCATGGCAGACCTCTCCTGTCTCACCCGCTGCTCCCCTCAGCAGTTCTTTGGGTCTGTCTGCCTGTTCTGCTCCCCACTCTGTCTCTGGTGAATCCTCTCACCCCCCTGCACCTCAGCTATTGTATAAATAAAAAATAAAAAAATAGTACTCCCCAAAATGAAATATGTACAACTAAATCTAACAAAATATATGCAAGATCTGTATGCTAGAAAATTACGAAACACTGATGAAATTCCCAATAAAATCCCAGCAGGCATTTTTTTTTTTAGATAGCAACAACTTTATTGTGAAGTTTATAGGGATAGGCAAAGGCAGCAGAATTGCCAAACAATGTTGGAAAAGGTGAACAAACTTGGAGGACTCACACCACCTAATTTCAAAACTTACTGTGAAGCTTTAGAGTGATACTGGTGAAAGTCAAACACACAGCTCAGTGGAAAGGAACTGAGAACCCAAAACTGACCCATAAAGCTAATTTTTGACCTAGGTGCAAAAATATTTAAAAATGACATGACAAAGAATTTGTATATATGATATACAAAGAAAAGTCAAGACCAAACAATAAGAAAAAAACAATAAAAATAGATGAATGCCTGGGCACTTTACAAAATAAGACATGCACGTGGACACATAAGGAGAAGCTCAACAGCATGAGAGATGCAAAGCAGAACCACAGCGAGCGGCCACTACCTGCCTATCAGCATTGCTAAAAGTAAAAACAAGAACAAAAATTAGTGCTACCAGGTGCAGGCAAAGATGCCAAGCACCCACAACTCCTGGATGTTGCTGGTGGGAGTACAAAATAGTCAGTATAGAAGACATTTTGGCAGATTCTTATGAAATTAAATCTACACTTACCTTCGGACCCAGCAATTCTAGAAATTTACCTAAGAGAGCAGAAAAGATGTTCATACAAACATGTAATATTATGAATACATTATGAATACATAATATCATTGCTTTATACAATGTTAGTTTAAAATTTTGATTCAGGGCCTCCCTGGTGGTGCAGCACTGTGAAGCTGTCCACAGCCTCTGCAGTGCCCGTTCCATCCCCGCCGGCCTCAGAGCAACCCACATGGCGCAGCAGACCTCTCCTGCCTCGCCTGTTGTTCCCCTCAGCGGTGTATTTCATCAGTCTGTCTGTTCTGTTCCCCGCTCTGTCTCTGGTGAA